CTTGTAGCCTTTATTATAACTCTGGCACAATAAGCCTTTTTCTTCTTTTCAATTTTAACACTAACAAAAACGTTGCCTGCGTGCAGACGTCTCCTATTTCCTTTGCTGCACGCAGAAAAGGGACGGCGTCACTTTTCCGTGGGCAGCAAAGGAAATAGGATACGTCTGCACGCAGGCGAACAAAAACGTAGAAGGGGTATAACAACATTACGTATAGAAATTTTGTGGTTTTTAATACAACAAAAGATAATCGTCTGAACAAGGCTATATTAGGCAGTGGCATTTGAATTTTGTTTTGGATCTTCTCTTAAAAATTCTTTAATTTTCATTTTCTAGCTCAAAAAAACTAATCACGTTTTTCGAGAAAAATTCCACCAAAATGCTCAAATAGTGCTTTTATGCTTTTCTACCCACTAAAACACTTTCGAAAAAATGCTAGCATAATGCGCAAAATCAAGTAAAGGCTACTGCTTCGTTAACCTCGCTAAGTTTACTTAGTTCCTGTTAGCGGTCATGACTAACTTTTTGATTGGTTATTATTTGTTGTTGGGCACAATTTTTTATGTTGAACTAAAATACCTTTTGTCACATAATGCACGTTTCATAATGTCAAAACCTGAAGTATCCTCTTCACAGTCAGGAGACGACCCTGGCTATCTTCTTTATAATGATGTTGACAGATTTCTAAATATCATTGATCTTTGACATATTAAGTACCGTAAATCCTAAAAAATACCTGACTGTGAATTTTAAAGTTACGGCTGAAGCATAGATACGTCCATTATAGGCATATAATCGGCATTTCTCCCTAAATCGTGTGCCCAGAGAAAAATGATGATAAGGTTTCAAATACGCCCTATCCTATTTAGCATTTGCCGCCGTTAGAGCAGTACACTGAACAGGGGCACCCAACGACAATTTTTGGAAAATATCTGTTCGGAAGACGATTTGAGATCTAGAATTTTCGAAACATTTTTTGTAAAATTTCTTGCTTGCCTGCCTCTCCTAGGATTTTCGAACATCCAAATAATGGTATAATTGCTCATTTTTAACGGATTTTTACCCTAAAAAGGTCACCTAGAGCTTTCGACAGCCTTTTTTCTGGCTGAAATTTTCGAAGTGGTAAGTTTTGATCCGTATAATTTTCGGATCACTAGACTTTCAGCTAGGAAATCCGAACAGATGAAAAATTTTTAGGAAATAAAAATATGCCTATATCTACCGTTTAAATACTAATGTACGTTCAACAATGATCTGTTTAAGTAGTTTTAAACTATATTCTCGTTGGGTGCCCCTGACAAAACATGCCCATCAATATATACAGCTGTTTGAGCTAACAGCAACAAGGTTTCCTTGGTATATATTTCAGGTAAATTAAATGTTATTTTTGGCGTCCGACCAACTGTATCACAAGCGGAATAAAGCTCGCTAATGTGTTATTAGAAACACACTGACTGGAAAGTACATGTATGAAGGCTAATAGTAGCAAGGGAACTGTGCTATTTATTCATGAATTTGCAGTTACTAAACACTACTCTTTTTAATTTACATTGTATATCGGGGCGTTTGGCAACAATTGCATGTACTATGTTTATCATTTTGGGGCCGCGATTATTTTAATAACATTATAATGGTTCTCATCATCGTTAAATTTGAATACTTATCCTAACTAGACGTACGATACATGAGATGTTAGACAGGTGAAATCTTGAAAAATTTCAGTTTTTTCCTGAGAGAACAACCAGAACAACTAGAACATTTTTCACTTGACCTCCGCTATCACGTGCTGCCTGTGACTTTTTCCAGCTGCTGTTTGTATTTTCTTCTGTTTGTTCATGCTAAAATAATCCTACTCATACCGAAATTCTGTCGTCAGTAGGTCATATAAAACCAATTTTTTTTTGTGGGATAGAGGTAAGTTTTGGAATTATTATTTGCGTTACTCTTAACATAAATAGTTTATATTATATACAGCTTTTCACCGTGAGTGGGTCCTCTGACAATATGAAAGAGCCAGATTTTAATTCCCAGGATCAACGAAGGCGTTATATTTATCGAATTAGTATTTAGTAACAATAACTAGTTAATCCTTCAACGCGCGCTTTCCTGTATATTCTCCCTAGTTCCCTTCAGATTTTCCTAGAAACTCAGAAGTGAAAAGGGGAGTAAAAAAGCGTAAGAAGATTCAATATTTGTCAACAACCATTAACATCATCAGATACCTTATTATTGGAAATTAACCCTCCATGAAATTAAGTTATTGGAAAATGAACGCGAATTTAGTGGAAAACGACAGTCACCATTAACGCGAAAGAGGAATAACATTGTAAAATGAGGGAAATTAACGCCGGCGAAGTTCACAAAGAAACCGAAACTTTTTGAGACAACAGGAGTAAAGTGAAACGTATAATCCGAAATGGAAACTGTTCGCACGTTTGATCTTTCCCTAAAGGTAATTAGGGGGTCAAGCGAGGATATCTGGTCACTTCGAGGGTTCTTCACAGTTTCACTGATCTCCACCCTGATAAAATACTCCTCATTCATAGGGGCCCAGGATGCCAGAGGAGTATTGAGAATTTGGTCCAAAATAATGGAAATTAAGGTCACGGAAATTAACGCTCCACTTAATAAACGACGCAAAAGTTAACGCGAACTTCAATTTCATGAAACGTCAATTTCCTATAAGTGACAAGCTGAGATTCAGAAAAAAAGCTTGGTACAAATGACCAGAGCACGTACCACTGAAGCTGTTTAAAGCTTGCGTTTTCTTAGGGATGTTGATTTTTTTTGTCGATGGTTCGAAAAGTCACTTCGAAGGTTTCCACAACCATACGATGAATTTTATCCGTTTGATACGTCAGGCAAGTTCATAGTTCAAACGGCAAGTAGAAATCTGTGTCAGAACAGCCTGAGAGCACCATCCTCGGTTTACAAAATCCGTGGTTTGCTTTCGCAAGCTTACAATTAATAGTTAAAAGTCTTTTAGATTAAAAGAATGTAACAAGATTCAATTAAATAATAATCATTGCATGATAATAATAATAAATGTTATTATTTCTCATAAGATAAAAACTACATATCTTATATGTTATATATTTTTCACAGCAAGAAGAGAAATTAAAAAATAATAAAATATCGTAACATATTACTTGAGTTCATATATCGGCAAGTCAATTGATAAAAGTATTCTTAAAACTTTCTCTCTTAATAAGTCTGCAAGCGCTATTTTTGTTTCGTAAGTTATAATTGATGACCTTAGTCTTTGGGACCTATTCACTCAGAGGGTAGGTACTAAGTTGAGAAATTTTCTTAAAAGGTTTCTTGTCTTGTTTTTTTCTATTAAAGCTCTAATATTTAACCTAACTGAAATGTATTGCCTTTTATGGCATCTGAAATGTATTGCTTTTTTATTAAGATTTTAAAAGGAGCGCTAGTTTGTTGAGAAATAAAGGCGTGATTTAAGACCTTTACAGTCACCGAGGCCTCTAGATTCGAAAAGGAGGAAGATTACGTACGAGGGTGACATTTGATTCAATTTTTTTTAGCGTATTCTGAAAAAATAGACACCCTGAAAGCTTTATTTTACTTTCCTTCACCAGAAAATTAAAGCTGACACGGATATTATATCGAAGCAAAGAAGGCCACGCCCTCTCCCGTTCGAAATTACAAATGATATTCAACTTCTGGTATTCCAACCTTGTTTCTGTCACTACGACCATTTTTGCAATTTCGATTATTCCTACCCACCTACTTTGTCAAATGTAGGCGAGCCCAGCTAGAGTTGAATTCCTAGGGACCATATCCAAGTTTAAAAAAAAAAAAATTTTGTCGTTGCTTGTTTATGTTCCCCGTAAAACGCGAAAATGAGGCATTTTCACGACGGGCTCATGCAAAACGGCAAAGAAATGTACAAACAATGCATGGGTGATGCACATTCACGGACGGACTTACGCAGGTGCTTATAGAGCGTTACTGGCTATATGCCAGTAAGGTTATTAATAAAAACTATGGCTGTGAAAACGTTGTCTGAGCAAGCTCAGGCATGTTGAGAATTGAGAAACCGATCACCTTCAACAAGACTTGTATGTGGGCATTTCATACAAATTCACTCTTGCATGGGTATGTGTTTCATGTATGTGTACACAGGGATACTATGTACACTTGTATATTAAATTCTCATGATTATGTTTCCACCCTACTGTTACAAACAATAGTTGTCAAGTGTGATTATTTTGATAAAAACAAGTACAAAAACTCTCATTGCTGTATTTTAAGCACTGACAATTATAATATATTTTTTCTCCGATAATGTTTTCACTACAGCATCACTCCTGCTGTTTCTTAATAGTACTCGCGAAAACAGCGAAATCTGCATCTGAGGGCTTCCTTAAACAATAATTATTACGATATTATAATTATTGGAGATGGTACGAGTTAGCGTTTGGTACCCATTTCCCATTTTCCCATTACACATGTAGGAGGATCAAATGGGGTGAACATGGGACCTATGCAACTTTGCCTACCCTTATTCCCTGACAAGAGCAACCCCATTCAAATCCCAGAACCTTTTAAAAGCCAGGGCACTGGGTTCGAATTTATTCCAACCAAAAGGACACTGAGTATATCTCAGCTTCCAATATTAGAGCCGGAATATGAAACCCGCCCCTCCCCACCCCCACCAGTTTCATGACAGTACTCTATTTCTCTCCCGTCCTCCCATCCCTGACATTTTACGGGCCTTTTTCCCCGAGCTTAGCAAGGCTATGCGATACACGTACTTCTATACTAATATTAGGATTATTTACTTCATGATTACGCGTCTTATGCAGTAGATATAAAGGTTTAAGTGCACGTAAACGGTAATGTTTGACTGGCGATTGCTTTTTTCGCATTTCTTTCAGAGATACAATGGCAAAGATTATTTTCTCATTACTGGCAATGGCACTGCTGGCATACTTGATCTCCCCGGGTGATGCTTGGACGAGAAGGCGTGTTAGAATCAAATTACCACCAATCAGAATCAGAATACCACCAATACCGGCTACCACCAAGGCCCCGATTACTACAAAACAACCGCCCACCACAACTACACCACCGCCGACGACAACAACACCTCCTCCGACGACAACAACACAGCCCCCGACGACAACAACAGAGCCACCGACGACTACTACAGAGCCGCCGACGACAACAGAGCCACCGACGACAACAGAACCACCGACGACAACTACACAGCCGCCGACGACAACAGAGCCACCGACGACTACTACACAGCCGCCGACGACAACAGAGCCACCGACGACTACTACACCGCCACCGACGACAACAGAGCCACCAACGACAACAACAGAACCGCCGACGACAACAACAGAACCTCCGACGACACCAACAGAACCACCGACGACAACAACAGAGCCGCCGACGACAACTACACAGCCGGAGACAACAACAACAGAGCCGTCAACGACCGCTACTCAGCCACCGACGACAGAGCCATCCACAACGGCTGCCCAACTTGGAACAACGGAGCCCCCAATTTCGATTGATCTTGACTTAGTTGATCAGTGTGAAGATTGAATACCTTTATTTTTATTTATAACTTTAAGTATGCAGTCCACCAATTTCCAGTCAAAGGAGAGTTTATATACAGTGTTTCTTTAAAGGGTGCAAATATAAATAAAATGGGTGTATCAATTCAAAGCAAAATGTTGCGTTAAACGTCACTTTTTTTGGTTGCTTGGTAACGCTGGTTTAGTTATTCTGATTTTTAGTTACTGTATGTATCTCCTGTTTGTTTTTCTCTCTTTTTAATCAAAATACAATTGACTAATGCAATGTTCCAGCGTGATTTCTTTACCTATGTTGCACGTTTTCAGTGAAACTGGAAAGTTTGTTATTGTAAACCCACAAAAGTGTGAACGCCAGAAATATTTATGGAATGTTATTGTATTGCAAGAAAAGCCAATAAGGGATGAGAAAACTAAACCGCAAACAGCAACCACAATGAGTTTGTGGTTTTGAGTTTCATTCGCGTGTTCTGAACTTTATGCGGTGATCGGTCACCACACAATCAACATTCCTGAAATTTTTCAGGTGTTCTCGGTTTTCTGTGTTTGACAGTAATTTGAATAACATTTTGACAAATCTGAAATTTCATATCGAATAATTCAAGATGGTGGTAGATATGACGTCATAGATCTACAGGCGAATTACTTTAAACAATCTTTCCAACATAACATAAAAGAACTACTTAGACCCATGCGGTTCTGCTAGAGTCACGCTTTTCACTATCGTGCCACTACCCTTGTTGCACTGAGCAAATGAAAAGTTGGAGACTGATCTCCCTGATTCCCAGGCTTGCCGTGATATATATATATATATATATATATATATATAGCCAATTTTTTGAAAACCAACCTAACGAAATTTGTAGTCATTTGAGTGAAAAGGCGTCAAAGGTTGGGTTTTTCAAGCCCGAGAAGCTCCAAAGTCACAGTAACGAAGGAAAAGGAGAGGAGGGAAGAAAAAGCGAAGAGAAGGAAAGGAGGGGAAGAAAAAAGCAATGCCTGCACTCCTAGTTTTTATAATAGCTACCTGGGAGATTTTTGGCCAAAAAAAAACCGTTTCACGCAAATGGTCCATTTGGCGATATATGAATCACGTGACCGTCTGTCCGTCCGTCCATATTGTCCGACGTCCATTATTTACTTGTAAGCCGGGGTAACATTTTGCATTCAAGCGCCCACGCGTTTTAGTGATCGCTTGGCCAACCGGACTTTTAGTGTGAATAAGACTACAAAGCTGTGTCTACATACACTGACGTGGATAACCGAGAAGGAGCTAGCTAAAGCGAGAGGAAAATACAAGGGAGACTGATTTCGTTGAAAAAAAACATGAATACTTTTTTAGCGGCGGTAAGAAAATGAGAAATGCCATAGCGACCAGCAAAGTGAAAATGAGCAGCAGTGCAGAAAAAAAAGTGAACATGACCATGAATTTAGTGGTGAGCACATACCACGGATGGATTCATTTGCAACATACGCGTCTAGCTTTCGTATTTGCCTGATGGAATTTTTCATTGTTTTTAATTAAGCTTAAAAACGTGTAAGTAGGAAGTTTCACGTTGTTCTCTTACAACAACAACGGCAAAGAAATGTACAGAAAAGTGTGCCTCAAGGCAAATGAAGTTGTTGTTTTGCTAATTAGACCTACCGTAAATATTGATTTTTTGTTGTTCTGGTTGCCGTAGCCGTTTAGCATTATATTTTTTTAGGATAAATACTGATTGTACTTTCTTGTTTAACAACGATAACATTTTACACACTTGACATTTTTATGTTGGAATAGCCTACAGTTTGCTTGCAGATTGTTTTTCCTAAAATTACACTGTAATTTCAAGTTTATTTTTGTTTGAATAAATTATTTAAATTAGTTTATCTAAGAGAGCTTCCCTTTTAGCCTTTAGTTAGCTACCTCTATATATTTATTCAGAACTGAGTTTTTTCGCACCTTTAAAAATTTGGTTGCAATTAGATTTTCCCAGTTACGATTGCAGCTGTGTTGCTTACATAAATTAAAATTGAGCTCGGAGTTCAAGGACCGGTTTTACAGATCAGTGAGGAAGCGAGAGAGTTGAATCTAAGGTAAGTTTCGGGGGTTTAACTGATATCCAATGGTTCCTTCGTAGTTGTTTCATTGAGTTGGAGGAGAATGATTCTCTAGTTTTATGAAAGCAAAAAACGCGGATCTCAATGGGGTTTAACCGTCAACTGTCAAACGGCCTAAAAATTTACCGTCAACCGTCGAAAAAAGGGGTTTTTTTTCCTCGACCGTAAAAAATGCAGGTTAAGAAACAGCCGTCAAAAAGTTTCAACGTATTTCAAATCCTTTATCTCCTCCGAATTCCGGCTTCTGTAGTTAGAGTATATCTAAACTGCAAAAACCAGTTCCCATGTTCTCAAAAACACTCTTTTTAGACATTACAATACCTTACAACCGCTTATATCTGAAAATATTTCGATATTTCAAAAATGAAAGGCCAAGACAACCTTCAAAGCACATCAGTTAAAATTAATAGAAAAGTTAATATTTACATCAACTTTTGGACTAAATTTCCTCTTAATAACAAAGCTCTAAAATTCAACAGTCAGCCTACTCTGGGTATCAGAGGTTTTTCTCGCGTGCGGCGGGAATTTTCGTTGGCAGAAGGCCGACAACGAAAACCGCGCTAGAAAAGTTTCTGGCACCCAGGGTACCGTCAAAACTGGAAAAAAAATAGACCGTCAAAGCTACCACCCTATAAATTGTCGTGGAGTGAACATTGTAACTGCGCTTAAATGAACCAAACCATATAAACGCAGCTATCTGCTGAGCTATTTATAGATATTTGAGACGAGCTTCGTTGTACGAAAAGAAAGCTTTAATCTTGACTAAGGGAGCCAGCGGAGTGATCGAGCGGTTAGAGCGATGGACTTGCAACAAGTTGAAGGCCAAGTGTTGATCACCTCCCGCCCTGAACACTAGCTGGAATTCAAATCCTCCACCACGCTTCAGTAAATAGCCAACTGGTTTGCCTCTTGCCAGTCGGGATTCTTAACCCCATAATGTTTGATTTAAGTTATTTGTTTCAGGCATTTACTCGGTCCCACTATCATTAGTGCTATAAATACTGCCGAGGGTATATAACGGATTTATTATTTTTATTGCTAGTATCATACGTTATGCTTTATGAACCATGGATAACTCTTTAAGACAATTTTTTGGAATTTCTTCATCCACCGTTGTTCTGCGTTAAAAATAGAGCCGGTGGTAACATTTCCTAGCCGATGATACAGTAACAAAACTCAGTACTAAATAGTTACAAGTAAACAAAATAAAACGATGACGTCAGAGCGTAAACAGCATACATTTTACATCTCTTGGCTGATGAAACAAATAACGAACTCTTACCGAAACCATTTTTTCAAGGTCATACGAACATCGCTCAAACCTCCCAGGGTATCAAAATAAAGTCAATTTCTATACGATCAAATTTAAAGGGGCTTTATATCAGGAGGATATTACGGGTCAATTCTGTGCTAAACTGAATCAGTACTTAATTAGTGCCTTTAAAAAAAAAATGCTCCGTTAGAGATGTGAAGAAGATATCAAAGAAACTGCATCAGGTTATCATCATTTTTGCCATCCTCGGAGACCCAGGGGCAGATAGTGGGGGCGAGGGAAAGTCTAAACGGGCAGAAAAATATGGCTAGAAGAAAAGTAAAGAACGGCGAGAAGAGCCCCTGGAGACAATGTCTTACTAGACCAGTTCCAAACGGTCACCGCCGTTCTGACCTCTGATTGGTGCCAGAAAACTTTCGTGTTTTTCTGCCCTACTCACGGTGCTCAGGGGAAAGGAACTAACTAATAAAAGGATAGGTCTTTATGTTTATATAAAGGGCTTGTGAGCTACAGTCTCAGACAAAACTAGTTGGGACACTTTAACCAAACGCTGTTTTTTCCCTTCTCGTGCTTCCCTCGTCCCTCTCAAAGTTGTTTATCGCGGTTCGGTCACCAAATCTTGTACACCAACATTGAGGGGACAAGGAGATCCCATAGTGTCCCAACCATTTTGACTGAGACTGTAGTTACTGCGATGAGGAAGTGTTTGATTGGCTATCGATTTTTTTTTTCAGAGATACAATCATGGCAAAGATTATTTGTGCATTACTGGCCTTGGCACTGCTAGCAGACTTGATCTCTCCTGGGGATGCTTGGCTTGAGAGAAGACGACGTCGGAGGAGGCGTAGAGTGAGTGCACCATCAACACCTAATCCGGTTACTACCGAGGCACCGACAACAACCACAGAGCCATCCACAACTGCTGCCCCATTTGGGACAACGGAGTCCCCAATAACGATTGATCTTGACTTAGTTGATCAGTGTGAAGGTTGAACACTTTATATTTATTAATGACTTTAAATGTGCTGTACACAAATCACCAGTTTAAGGAAAGTTTACAAAATAATGTCAACAGTGTTGCTTTAGAGGGCGTAACTATAACCAAAATAGGTGTGTCAATTTAAAGAAAAAAGTGCCAGTCTCGTGTAAAACGATACTTCGGTTGCATGGTAACGAAAGCGTAGTATTCCGAATATAGTTACTGTATCTGTTCCCTGTTTGTTGTGAAGGAATAAATTAAACAAAATCCGAAAGCCCAACTTGTCGATAATTAAAGGGGTTGGGAAAACGACAGATTGTTCATCGTCAGTTGCAAACCTACAATTGGTGATACTATGGTCAATGAGGAGACTTTTTTATGACCAAGTGAGGTTTATGCACCTAACAATATTAAGTAGGCGGGGGGATTTAGGGCATGGGGATTTGACATTTTTCAAAAATTTGCCGTCAAATTCCCTCCCACCTCGGGCTGCACATTTTTGTCCATCCCAAGGCTGGACCCAAGAAAGGTATAATTAAAATATCTCCAAATACAACCCTGCAATCAATCAATCAATCAATTTATTAACATCAATACGTGGGATGGGGTTGTCCCGATCATCCTAGCCAGAGGCTCATGTATAAAACGCATGACAGATCTTTCCAGACCGTAGGGTCGCGTGCGTGGAAGTGGGGAAACATATGTTCGGTCTCAGTCTCTTTCGTCCCTGTCGGCCGAGTCAAATCCATCCCGCCCATGTCGGTCCCACGTCGGCGAAGAAACTGATTCAAATATCCCCTCCCACTGGAGAACAAGATTGGTCAAATGCTCTACCCCAGGGCCAACAAAGACAATCAAATCCCTTCTCCATGCCCTTCCTCTCCCCGCCGCCCCCCACCCCCCACCGGCTTTACCTTGATAGGTACATTATACACTTAATGTCAGATCCCGAGGGAAACAGTTAGTTTTGTTTTCCCAAGAGTCCTGATGTTTCCCGAGACGAAGTAGAGGGAAACATCAGGACTCGAGGGAAAACAAAACTAACTGGTTTCCCGAGGGACCTGACATTAACTGTTTTGTTATATTTCTAGACTTTCACTTCAACAGCAACAAAAGAATAACCGGAGCGAACCAAAACAGTCGACTCGGTACTTATAACAATACAAATTTAATTCTCAAAACCACTGAATGAATGATTTACAAACAAAAGTACTTTCCTCATATTATCTGCATCTTTTTCCTCCACTAGCTGCTGTTTTTCTTCTGGGAACTTCTGGGATAACTTTAAAAATGGTTGCTTTTTAGCTTGAGGCTTCGTTTTTGTGTTGTTGAGTTCATTCATGAAAAAGAAAACTGGCAGGGCTTGGCGGTGTTTTTCCCGCCTTCTGTCACACCAGTTTCCACCATACTTTGATCACGTGCTGCAATGTATCCCGAGCGGGATACATTGTTTAATGTATCACGATCGGGATACATTTGATTTTAGTCAAGGCCACGTGACCAAGAATCAACCAATGGCAGTCCCTGTTTAGTTGAGTGAAAGTCTAGGAATATAACAATAAGGAAATGAAGAAGGAGATGAAGAAAACAATCTGCACTCCTCCCCCACCCCTCCAATCAAAGTTTAATTGCTTGATGTTTCATTCAGTTAGCTTGCATTTGGACAACGAAACATTAGGGCTGGGCCGAGTTAGGGTATCCTGCATAGCAGGCATTCGAAAGGGAAGGGAAAGGGAATTTGGGTCGGTGACCTCGCGCGCACTTAGCGCTTCTCACGCGCCCAAAATCACCTTTCCTTTCCGTTTTGAACACCTGCCACGCAGGCTAGGGTAAGGGGAGAAGACATTAATTTTTTTTTTGAAGTGGATATTCAACTTTGAAAGTAGCAGACTTTCATAGGATCACGTGCACAACTCCATGAGTATAGAATTCTCTTAACAATTTATTTATATATCTATCTATAACAACTCTTAACAGTTCAATTTAAAGATTAGTTTCCTTAATATCTCTGTGATTTCTATCGACACCAGCTGATAACGATCCGCTTCGAATTTGCGTGTGAGTGGCATAAGGCGGAAATTAAATTCTTGAGATTCAGGCCATGTCTATACTTCACTGTACTGTACTGTACTGTGGTTTTTGTCTCTGGTCGGCAGGATTTGCCCTCTCTGATGCAAGAGCATTTTCTTTGACCTCTTTTGAAGGGTAAAGCTTTTTATTGCGGCTGAATAAGGGTCGTACTTTTCTCCAAAGTGCCCTCTGGATCTGAATAACTAAGCGATTTTCTTTAGTCCGTAAATGTAATGTTTTTCTGAAATGTTGTATCACGCTGGGCCCAGGTCGTTAGTTTTCTTTGCAGAATGTTTAAAATGATCACGGATAGTAATTTACAGATCCAAAGTTATAAGATTCAAGTGCAGCTTAAACCGAAGCTACATCAACTATGGAGAATTGCATTTTGACTCGTCAAACTCCAGCCTAGTGTTTTTCTATCCATTAGATAGTGTGAGTCTTTTGACTGGAGCGCGTAGTTCCTCCCTTGGTAATAGCTTTTGAACAAGCTTAACAGTCTTTGGAGTGTTTTGTTATTTCCAAACGCGTATTACGTGCCGACCGAAAAGCCGATGTCAATCAGACCTTTCAACAGTCAGTGTTCTCGCCAATAAGAACTTGCATCAGGATCTGATGCACAGCGGGTGCCGTGGAACGGCGGTCCCAAAGGCTTGTCCACAGGCCTTTTCGCTTTTCCCTCTCCCTAATTCCCCGCTCGATCAAAGGCCTGTTCACAGGCTACTTTTTAAAGTCATGGCAGGGATTAAGAAAAGAACGCCTTCATTCATAATTTTGTTTTTATATAAGTAGTGAGGATACTTTTAGTTCCAGCGCTCAACAAAGATTCTAGTGTCCATTTGTCAGAAACCCCTCCGCCGTTTTAAAAATATTACCAATCGCTAGCTATACTACCCTGCATGGGTGCCGGAGACTTTTCATGAGTGGTTTCCGCTTTTGGTCGTCTTTTTGGTGACCCGTTCGTGGCTTCGGCCTTCGGCCGACACCGAAGGAGTCCTCGCAACACGCGAGCCACGCGGCCATCAGAAGAAGACTATGTTTCCAATATGTTTTATTGGGGGCTTTGTCGGGAAATTGTTCGGTCCTCAAAGGCGACTAACAATCAATAAAATTGACAACATCGACAGCACTAACAGCGAGAGCAGTTGTTACCATTGATTTCTATCGATCGATCGATAAAATGGATATCAATCAATTAAGAATTGCATGTTTTTATCGATTGCTCTTCTCATGTTGTAATAGCCGAAGAGACACCAAGTTAACAAAACCTTAAAATAATGCCGGGATATGTACTATCAAATGTTATGTGTTTAAGAAGTAAGCTGTTGATAATTTACTCACAAAATGCGTGGATTTCGTGGATTAAACCTCAGTCGTCTCCAAAGAAGAAGATTCGTTCGATGAAGAATCTTATCAAAGTCAATTCAAGAGTGAAGTTGAAGACCATGGCGCTTTAATGATAACTGACTCTTCTATTCTCTCTGATTTACATCATGTACAATTAACGCATTGAATTCAATTCGAATTCAATCATCGTTTTGTAGAATTACTATTAATAATCTTTAATTAGCTCTTTGATCAGTTACTGACGGTTTTATCCTGCACAAAATTTCGGCTTGTCTTGCTCTGTCTGAGAATGACCTGCTTGTTAAAATAATTATTTGCTTCCTATTATTTTTACTCAAGAAAAAAATAAAGCATTTGTGTGGGAGGAAATCAATTATTAATAGAGATATTAAGATTCACGTTTACTCCAAACGGCAAACGTGAATTTGTACCTTGTGACCAAGTTTTTCCCTTAATTGTTGTTAACTGTTTATTACTTTAACTAAAAAACAAGTAGTTTCACGCCAGTTTTATACATAAGAATTGTTCTGGACAGTTTTTATCTGCTTATTTTCTACTCTGAGAAATTCTCAACTTGAATCTGACGTTCGCCGTTTGGCGTAAACGTGAATCTTAATCTCTCTAATCAAAAGTGTGGTTTCCTCCATGTAAAGTTGAAGTATTTCGTTCGAGGGCTAGCCTAGTTTCGTCCTTCCTATTCTCTCCAAATGAGTGCTTACTCTAAAAAAGTCAGCGCCTAAATGCCTTTATGCTGCTGATAAAACCAAACGTTGTTAAAACATAGCCTTACCACCTCGATCATTGCTTTTCATCGTGATAATTTATTGTCTAACAAGTCTGTAATGTATGTAGACGCAAGATCAAAATTCATCTTTGGTCGGAGTGGCCTTAGATAAGTATATTTTAAGTTCATTCTCAGAGCCTATTAAGAGCGACGGACTTAGTGCGTGAGGCTGTTTAGCCAATTCAGTTCAGTAGAGTTTAAGTAACAGATTGAAATAACTGGACTTATGAATATTTCCATATATTTTTCATGAAGTTGTTCACAGTTTTAGGACTCGTCAACAGCTGTGGATGATAACCAATGTGAAAGAGCCTGAGAGAATTTACCAACAGTGATATTATAATTAGAACTAATTCATTTGAATCAATTGGCAACTAATTAAGTTGACTAAACAGAAAGATAAGCCCAGATTTAAACGATAACTACCTTGTAACTTCTTGCAATCACTTCTTAATATTATGTCACATAATAGTGGAATTGTAGAATTTGCGCTTGGTGAACATGAGAGGTAACATCAGGCAATTTCTTCTTTCCTTACGTTAGACTACCACGCAGGTAAATTATTCACAATGAATTTTTTCGCGCCTTTTAAAATTCTGATTGCAAACAAATGTTCTTAGCAACTTCAATACCTGTGATTCCAGCTGTGTTGTTGGGATTAATTAATACTTGAACTCGGAGAGTTCATAGAAAGTTTGCAGCAAAGGAAAACCAAAAAAGTGAGAAGGTTGATCTGAGCCGAGTACGTTTCAGAGAGGTAAATATTCACAGGGGCACCCAACGAGAATATATAGTTCAAAACCACTTAAACATAACATTGTTAAACGTGTTTTAGTATTTAAACGGTGGATATGGGCATATTTTTATCCCCTATAAATTTTTCATCTGTTCGGATTTCCTAGCTGAAAGTCTAGTGATCCGAAAATTATAGGTATCAAAACTTACCTGTTCGAAAATTTCAGCCAGAAAAAAGGCTTCCGAAAATTCTAGGTGACCTTTTTAGGGTAAAAATCCGTTGAAAATGGGCAATTTTACCATTTTTTAGATGTTCGAAAATCATAGGAGAGGCAGGCAAGCAAGAAATTTTACAACAAATGTTCCGAAAATTCTAGATCTCAAATCGTCTTCCGAACAGATATTTTTCCGAAAATTGTCGTTGAGTGCCCCTGTATTCAGTGGTTCCTTTTTGGTAGTTGACAGCTTAAAACGCGTTTTTATACTGTTTTTTTTTTTATGTAACTGAGCTTAAAAAGTTCTAAACTTTTAAACTCAGGCTGCTGTATATGTTCTACACGAGGTTTTATTATGAAAAGATAGTATCATGCATATACAATATTTTAAAAAGTTAATTTGCGGCATTTGCTTTGAACCAAACATACAAATGCTTTAAAACTATAGATAACTCTTTTACACAAATTTCTCGTGAATTTGAATTTTATTTCACTGACACTCAGCATCAAATAACCTAAGAGTAAAGAGAAAAGAAAAAAGAAGAAGAAGAAAAACGAAGCTAGAGCGCAATATTGGGTAGCTCTTTAAATATCTATTCTACGGATCAAGTAGAATTTCTCTTTAACTTTTTTCATTTATTTCTACGCTTATATAGTATGTTATAAATTTATATTATCCGTCTCCCTTAGGTGGTCATGATCAAAGGATTCAGTTATGATAAATCTTTATTTATCAGAAAATAGTTTATCTCTTTGTCGAATAATTCAGGCGGGTTTACAAGTTTGTTTTAGAACTTCTCAGTGCCACAGTCAACGATTTCTTGGAGTTGAACTACGTGAATTGTTGCAAAATACAATCAGAGCTACAGAAAATTAGATTTCAATGGGTGACTTTCAACCAAATGAACTTCCACGGGGCTCGACATATAGTTATCAAATGAAGTACTGCTTTGAATCTAAATTAGCTTTGTCCATGGGACTAACTTACAGTTTGAAATGCACGCTGATTCTCGCCCTCGGGTCGAGCAAGTGATCATTTGCTGTTCTTATACTGCTGGAAAAGAAAAGTTAATACTAGGATTTTCCACTTTGTGATCCGACATGCTTTAAAATCGTTATAGGCTCTAAATGCAAGTAAGGTGGTAATATTAGATTAGTGATTGTTCTTTCTTAGCATTTCTTTCAGAGATACAATGGCAAAGATTATTTGTTCATTACTGGCCTTGGCACTGCTGGCATACTTGATCTCTTCGGGTGATGCTTGGACGAGAAGGCGTTTTAGATTCAAATTACCACCAATCAGAATCAGAATACCACCAATACCGGCTACCACCAAGGCCCCGACCACAACTACACCGCCGCCAACCACAACTACACCACCGCCGACCACAACCACACCACCGCCGACGACAACAACACAACCGCCAACCACAACCACACCACCGCCGACGACAACAACACAACCGCCAACCACAACCACACCGCCGCCGACGACAACAACACAACCGCCAACTACAACTACTCAGGCGCCCACTACTCCAGTCGAAGTTGATGAATGTGAAGGATACTAATACAAATCGTCATTTATTCTGTTAAAAAGAACATTATAGAACCATAATAATCCTGTACTAAACAATAAATAAACGAGACATTTTATCTGTGATTTTATCTGGATGAGTACATTCCTGTCTGTTTCCTTAGTTCAGGGGTACCCAACGACGGTTTCATCCTAAATACATTGAAAACAATTTTTAGGCTCTCCAGGGTAATTTTAGATCTCTAGAAATGTATTTTAAGCGGTACTACAAAATTTTTATTTGTTCGGTCAACCTACAGGAACTTCAGTCTTTTCGAAATTACAGGGGCTTCATTATTATTCTCCCGAAGATTTTAAATGCAATTTAACGTATTACGAAAGTGAGAATTTTTCTGATTCTTCTCTCCGTTATACTTTTTAATCCGAAAACTTTAGGTTTCCTTTTTTCGAGCCTAACCTGGGGAATAGAATGCGAGAAATTAAACTTCAGAAAATCCTATTGAATTTATTAGATAAGCTTCGAAAATTGTACATGCATGGGAACGGTCATCTAGAAATTCTTAGCCTGTTGTTTCGGCAATTTTTTCCTCTCCAAACAGATATTTTACAGGAAACAGTCGTTGGGTGCCCAAGTTTTTTCTTTGGTTGTTTACAGGATGCATGTTGCGTTCAACCCGAGGCGTCAGCAAACGGCTCATCCCTGCTAACTAATATATCACCAGGTGTATTTGTAGACGTCGTGGGTCAGTTTTATCATTGGTTTAAATTTTATTTTCGATTGTAGTCAATTTCTTTATTATACATTAACATACCCTAAGATAAATGTGAGCTAATGTGAAACACAATATATTATTCAGTATATCCAACCATTGACGTAAAGCACAAAATAATATTGATGTGTTATCAACTGCTTGACATAACAGGTTAGTTACCATGGCACAAATATAATATGTACACTATAAAACACCTTATTTTGTTTACTTAGCTTCTTGCCTCTAATAATTCCACTTCTCCGAAGCGCCGCCAAAAGATAAATAAGCTTCAGTCCTAAGATTAATGACAATGATCATGAGGTACTAAGGTGTAGGTGACATTACTGAAAAATTCAGTAATGTCGCCTATACATTAGTATCTCATTGTCATAAATCTCAGGACTGAAGCTTATTTATAGTTTAAAAACTATCAAGACAGTCCGAAAAACTTTAAGATGAATTGACCGAGAAATCTTATTCAGACCAGTTACATAATCTTCTTCGCCTCAAGGTTATTTTATTTTAGTATGTACTAAAACAATGGATGTTTTTCGCGCGCTTCGATTGGCTACTCAAAGTCGGGATATCCAGTGCTGTTCACTGATTCACCCCCAGCTCCTACGAGCGAGCGAGGCCAAACTCACGTAAAGTTACGAGCAAAATGGTTTGCCGGTTTGCTGCCGTAAAAACAAGAAAAACTTCACACATAATCAAACAAGCTTTTCCCGAAAAACAACAAGAAGAAGGTGACGAAATTCGGTTTGGAAGCTTTAACAGGTTAAGCTTTGTCTGTTTGACTTGAATTTAACTTAAATTCAACGAAACCGGTGAAAAAGTTTTTTGTTTACAAATGCAAATTCAGTTTTACTGGTTTCATCGATAAATTCAACCACCACTAGCCACCCCCACTTCAGTGAATAATTGTCATTTATTTATTTATTTTGCTTCAAAAATAAAAAAAAAAACAATGTAACTGATTCAAAAGGCAACTATTTGTCTTAAAAATGCGAAAAATGTTTGAAAATTACCTCAGTTACTAATCAGTCCTCAGTCCAGAAGCATTGAAAAAAAACCTAGGCCCCCAGGCTGGGAAAGGAATACCTTATAAGGACAAAAAACGTAGGTCCCTTTGCATTTGTCTGGTCTGATCTATGATCTCGAACGCAAAGAGGAGCCGGTCTGGATGGGGTTAACTGACAAATGGCCAATATTTTAACTGACAACCGACAAATATAAAATTTAACTGACAACTGACATTTGCCACCGGTTTTCCTGACAACTGACAAAGGACCTGACTGTCTTTTATTTTCTACAAAAACCCGTTTTTAAGGCCTTTTAAGGGTATTGTACCACACTCTTTTCTTCAGACAACGAGATCAAATGTCCAAATGTACGTTATTATGGGTAATCTTAGCAGCAGGACGCTTAAAATGAGCGAGCGTCATACTTCGTTAAAGCGTTTACTGTCAAACCCTGTGTTTTATGTACCATCCGTTGTAAATGACCTATGATTCCAATTTTTGCTCCTCTGAGAACGATTCACGATGGCTGCTATAAAAGCAATTGTATTAAAGTGTTTACCGAGATGATTCAGCATGGCATTTGAACGACAGTACAGAAGCCGTATTCCGATAAATGACGTGAATATGGCAGAACTGATATGGTGCTCAAGCTAAAGAAACACCTTCTTTCATTCTTTGGCAAATCAATCACTATCGAGGCATCGAAAACAAACTCAATCAAGTTAATCGTAATAAACAATTTAACTGTTCCCAAATTTTTGGTCATTCTTACCATCTATCTCCCAACTAACAGACATAGTAAATTTTGATTGGGTTTATAGTTGGAAATGCTCGACTCTGGCCAGCAAAAACGTTTCGACAAGACTTGAGAAATGAAGGGCCACTTGAAATGCTTTTTTAATAGCAAAACTGGTCAAAATTAAGGTACTATATAGTGTTTAATTTACATTATATGTGCCTTTCAGCTAAACTTTGGATCAAAAATAAACAAATAAAGCTAAATAAGTTTCATTCTTAATTATTAATAATCATTTAACTCACAACTGACAAAAAGCCTAAACTGATTTAACTGACAAATGGCCAAAATTCTAACAGACAACTGACATTTGTGCCTCCAATCCAGACCCTCAACAAGCGCAAAAGGAAAACAAGTAGAAAAACGAGGAGAGACTGGGGCGAGGGCGAGGGAATACTCTCCTTTGTCGCGCCAGTCTCTCCTCGTTGTTTTTTCCTCGACAATTTTTCGCCGCGCTCTACTATCTTAACGCCTGGGATAGGCTAGGTAATTATAAGGACTTTCGAAACGGACCCCAGGTCTTCCTGCCCAGGTTCATTATAAAAGACAGGTGCAATTAAAATGTCAAAACTAGGGGAAAGAATGGACTGACGCAAAGTCTAAGCCGATGCTGACATTTTCAGTTAATTGAAAATATTGCCATGCATTATTAAGTCATTGTTTGTTTTGTTACTGCCGGCTATAATCCGGCCCAGATTAAAGATATTTTATTTAACCATTTTAATATAACAGAAGCTACAAATCCAGATCTAGCCGTGTAGTGGATCAATGGGTAGCGAGATCTCACCACTGACACCAAAGAGGCCTGTATCTACAAAAGTTAGTAGCAAGCCACAGAGAACACCGTGTGGATTTAAAAAAAAGGGATACTACGAAGAAAAAGTGAAAACTTGTTTGTTAAAAAGTCGCTGGAATTAGATGGTAATAATGTATAAAATAGCTGCAAGACCACATAGGTTATTTTGTTTATTTACTATTTTCTTATTTCCTTTGAAACATGGACATATCCAAACGTGAATTTTTCAGCCTTGTTTCGATAGTAAGTTTATACAGAGGGGCCTATTACCAGGAAGTTTGTAGGTTCTTTACAGCGGACTTTACTAAATTAAAGTCTGCATCAAGGACTACAAAAACAAAAAGTATGTCTTACTGTATTTAAACGCTTAGCTCCTCGAAAACCATACCTCCTCCCACGGCACATACCTGTATATAGCGTAGATGGGAAAGTGACCACGGGATTTTAAACAAAGACCCCTTTAATTGATCACCATATAAGGATTATTGTTTAGTCGCATTTTGTCCTGTTAATCAGTTTCCCTAACCCGCGAAACTTTAAGAGGAAGAAGAAAAAACATTTTGTAAAAACCAGGACTTGACAGAATGCTGTTAGGTAATCTAGGAATTTTAGGCACGCAAATTTTGTTTAAAGAAAGATTCAACTTAACGGCTTATCGATTTGACTCTTGTCTTAACAACACTGTCTAATGAAAAATTAAGGAACAAATGATCGATTAATTGATATGGCTGGCAGTTGACAACTATGGGTTAAGATGTTAAACCTACCGATTGCCTTCAGGTTTCGTTTATATATTTTGCAATCTTTGCTCATTTTAATTATTATCAAGGCAGTCAAAAAATGCTGGCCTGTTCCAGGCTCTAAGATAGTAATGTGCAGTCATGTAACGAGAAACGCGTGGGGACCACCACTCACTTCTTCAGATCACGCGCGTCTTCTTTTCGCTTGCATTGGCTTGTTTTATTTTCGCGATGTCCCCGACTATTTGAGGGCCTGACACAGGCTAAAACAATGCAAGCCGGTCGACGTCAGTGTCTTGGAACAAGTCGTTTGTACTGTGATTAGACTCTTACATCTCTTCTACTGTATTTTTTTGTTCCCGTGATACATTTTTAATCTTTTCTTTTTGCCTTTTTTATAAGGGAAATGGCGGGTAATATCGTGCTCGTTTGCCTTTTCATTCTTGTTGGAATTGCTGGTAGTTCACTCACTGCTGAGATTACAAAGAAAGCAGCTGTAAAGACATCTGATGAAAAAGCAAAGAGGGGTTACGTTTGCCCTAACAACAATGGCGGACAATGGATAAATGAACCCACCGGCCACTTCCTGTATGAGTGTACCGGAAGTAAGAGTTTGACTCGACTCTACCAACTGTGCTATCTGTATCTCTTATCTATATTTTAGTTTTAAAAAATTCAGACTTGCTTTAAATAAATTTTGTACCCTAATACAAAATACAAAATACACGTCGCCAGCAATGGACCGATTTGATCTTTTAATTTGGAAATAAAATTAATTGAAATCAGGAAAAAATCTTTTAATTACTACTACGATTTTCAGGTGTAATCAAAACGACGATGAGAGAAAATAGAAATTTTCACGCCCGTTTAGTGAAAACTGTAATGATTTGCGCAAGCTTTAGTAAAGAAATTATATAAAAATTTTACTTCACCTGCTGTTAAATTGTGTGCTCTTTCGTGTGTTTAAGTTTTCCCCACTTTTTTAATGCCCTGACAACACGCTCTTGCCTGACATCTACTTTTTAAACCTGTCGGTCATCGTGGCACATAGATATATTGAGCGTTGCCTTAATAACTTTGTAATTTCACTCGAAGTTATAAATTAATTCTGAAAATTCGCTCCAAAATTAAGGAGTATTCGCCAACGATATTACTAAGGAAATCAGTTGTAAACAAACGAAACCACAGGCTAATGGCAAGCGAACGCATATGTCTCAGACCCAAGTTGCAAAGTTGCAACCATTAAAGAGAGAAACTTTAAGGCTGAAATTTGATCTTCCCTTGGCTTAAAGCCTGATTGCAATTCATGGTAATTTATTATTTAATATTTATTTATTTTTATTATTTCCTCTCCTGCAGGAAATTCAGTCACTTCCATTGCATCAGAGTATGTTCAGAGAAAACGCGATCGGCGCTGGAAAATGGGCTGCGGTTACAACAAAGCCGTCAAAGATTGTGCGTGGACAAGTTATAAGAACGATTGGGATAAACCTCTGAGAATTGAGTGTCCACATTACGGATTCATAGCTGGTAAATAAAACTGAGTTTGAGAACGTTTTTGACTTTATTCAGCTTGTTTTTAATTCACGAACTGAACTTATTCATATCTGCTAATAGTCTCAGGTTCACATTTCAGCAGTCTGTCCTGTCTTACTGTCTGTTTATCCGGACTCCTGCTTTGTTTAATTTTATCTATTATATATCACTGGATGCCTAATTGGCTCGGGACGCGGGAGTAAGTAACGGTTTAAATTCCGTCATGTTGGGCCTTCGAGCTAGTGGCATGATGCTTTGCGACCCTCGTTTATGATTGCTTGTCTTTCGCCCTCCTCTTGGCCAGTTCAACGGAGCTCAGTGGAAGTGACTCAGCTGAAAGTTCCGCCCCTCCGACCTCCCCTGGTGGCGGTTGACGTCGTAGACCATCATTATTCAGCATACCTATTGTCCAGGCATTCGTTGTTTCCTCCCCTATTAACTTTTTTATTGATTAAATTAACTGTCCCATTCATGACATTTAATTCTAAATTGTATTTCAGGCGTTGAAAGTTATTTTCGAATGAAGAATTATGACCGTAGATTCAGGTTCAAGTGTTGTAACGACGCCAAAAACTACGAGACAACAGGATGTGTTACGACTGCCTTCATTAACCACTGGAAATTGCCCCTGGATTTTCAAGTTAAACGAAGACTTGGGTACTATCTCGTCGGGATGTACAGCGAGCACAAGGAAAAGTTCCAGTAAGTTGAAACATAGAAAAGAAACCTAAAAAAACTACGTTGTTGGCGCGGAAAAAGCAACCGTCACTGATTTGTACCACGAAACTACGTTTTCCGAAACTTTAACTATTCATTACTATAAGAAGAGTAAATTTCACATTCATCCTCTACCACCAGAATTGCTTTTAAAATAAAAATGTGTCCGAGTGGCAAAAATTAAATGTCACTCACCAATTAATGTAGTTCTTTTTTGCACCGAGGCGGCATTTTTTGTGTAGTTGGCTTACAGAAAGAGGAATATAGGCATGCATGATTACGATTTATTCCACGCGTTTTGTAACCTAATGTACGAGTCGTACCTTGTATCAATTGTAAGGCCCCCTCCCCAAGTGATGCTCTTTTCTTTATATCATTCAAGCGTATTTTACATTTACCAATTGAACTAATCGCACAAATGGTAAACAATGATTTTTTTCTACAAATTTTACCATTTGCATTGAATCTCACTGTTACAGGACTTGAACAAGTGGTGAGTATTGGACTCATAAATGCTTTATATCGATTCAATTTTTCAGGGACCGCCGCTGGGAGTTTAAATACTGCAAGTTGAAGTTCCGTCGTAAGAAATATTAAGTACCTAAAGTAACAAGATGCCGTGTGTGTACCCTTTCTGATCGCTAGAGTAGAAGACAAACATTTGAAACGGACGCATTTTTCCCATTTTACCCTCACGAGAAGGAGCGACACAGGAGAGCCGAAGCTTCTTGAAACTAGTTAGTTGACTGTTTTCTCTCAGTTAATAAACATGATTAATTAACCTAAAAACGCAGATATATGATTTTATTCATGGCGAAACTGCACAGTTTATGGGAGTACGAAACCCTCACAAATAAACTAGGTTCCGTCCATAAAACGATACTGAACATAAATTAAATCCTCGATAGTCCACCCGTATCCTGATATTTTGAAAACGGAGACTTTTTTTTAAGCGTGCACACTTAGCGTATTGGAATCTTTCCCGCCAGTCCAAAAAAATACGCTAAAACGATAAAAATACGATTGCAGGTCTTACAGGGCATGCGTTTTATACTGACATTTACTTAGATTCGCCAATGCTGGCAGGGTTAACACAAAGCACAGCGCGGGGAACCAATTACTGCGGGCCTGTAACAATCCCTTCCCCCGTAAAAGAACACGTCCTTCACTCATTACGAGCAGTGTGTGGGTTCTCTTACGTTCCACAGGAATTATTGCGTGACACAGGGCCTACAGTTTATCGTCCTTATCTGGGAAGACTAGAAAGTCTAACCGTTTGCAGATGTTGTTACAAAGGTAGCACTTTCTTCTCATTTATTTAAAGACCCTGAGTGTTGGTCCCACCGGGGTTTGAACCAGCGGCCTCTCTCTTAGCCTGTTCCAGGCGTTCAGGCTCCGCTCGTTTTTTTTTTTTTGTTCGTGAATTTTTCTTCCGCGCTCTACTTCTCGCTACCTCCCGCTTGGCAGACCAGTGTCACAGTGATATGGGCATCCCCGCGTATTGGGCATCCCCATTCCCAAAACCCTAGTGATATGGGCATCTCCTGTAACCCTAACCCTAACCCAAATCGCTAAGGTAATATGAGAAGTGGATGCCCATATCACCAGGGTTTTGGGAATGGGGATGCCCAAAACGAGGGCATGGCCATGTCAGATCTGGGCACTAGAGTAACCGGCGCTTATCCAACTGAGCTAATCTTGCGGAGGTTCATCGTATTCGAAAACCTCCGTTTTCGCCCGTGAAAACGATAAGCCAGTGTTTTCAATAACCGCCACCCTGGAGAGCGTTTTTTGAAAGGATGAGTTTCGGTGACCGTTTTTACGGGAAATCTGTGGACGGTAGGCCAAACTGGAGAATCTCCGTTTTCAAACAAAAACGGACAGGTGTGGACGGAGCCTAAGGAACACAATGGGCGCGATCCATTCAACCAAAATTTCCGGAAATTTCGGTCCAAAACTCAATAGATCGGTTCGGTCCAACCTGAAAAGTTTCTAAAAATCTAGTTCACCTTTTGAGGTGGATCACTTGTCCCGGTCGGACCGGTCTGAATTTTGTTTGAATGGATCGTGCGCAAGACTTCTCTCAACCTAATTACCTATTATGTTTTTCGTGAATGGTTACTTTTAAATTGTCTTTTTCAACATTTAATTCAAAGAGGACAGACGGCAAATTGTTGTCACTCGAAATATATAAAAGTCGTAACTGTTCATTAGTAAGATGCCTAAAATGTATGCAATTATCTACAATTAGTTTCGGCTCCATTAAATCTTACACCAATTGTAGAACATTTTAGGAGCAGCCACCCACAACGTGAGCACAGTTACTGACAAGGTGTATGAGTAGGAAAACAACTCAACTTAGTCTCCTTTCAAATGCCAATATTTAAAATATATCACGGGTCATGCATGTTCGTCGTTGTCCAAACACTTTGTTGACGAAGATGCTGTTTGCGAAGTCTAAGCGTCCATACCAACAGGACCCTTGGATAAATATCGCACAAAAGTATTTATTAAATGTCTCCCTTGAACAAGCAAATAAGTGTAGGTAAGATAAGAGTGGTTTCGCTGCATTGGTTGCGGACCGTGCATGTAGTTCTCTTTTGATAGTAACAAGATTACTGATTGAAGGATTCTATACGCAGCTGTTTTTTCTCTGATGCTAAATCTCACAACTTTCGACAGTAAAACATAGAACAATTTCAATTAAATTCAATCGTCAATACAGCTCGATACAATACCGTATCAAAATAAAAGGAGTGCCCTATTTACTCAAAAACGCAGAGTGGATATTATAACTGACAGTTTAGGGGAGATCTATTGCTTAAGGTTGAAATTCAAAGAAATCAATGCCTTCATATACACCCACTCGCACAATACCCCTTTTAATACGACGTCATTTCAAATGCAACTTTTATTTACATTTTTTTTTTCTTCTGACAACTTCAATTTCGTAAAGTTTATATCATACAGTATTGTAATATACTGACTCTTGCTCCAATAAATGAGAAAACTGACGAACGTTCATTCCTACATTGAGATCAGACACAGTACCTTGATTCGAATACTTCAGTACTGATATCCATGCATGCTAAAGTTATTTACACAGAACCGTTTTCTCTCAAACAAAGCGTCTGTGTACTTAAAGAAAAAACGTCTCTGCCTGTTTCATGCTAACAAAACGGAGCTGAATGATACTTGAACTGACATAACTTGAATAGTGGCATAATCGCGCACATCACACTGAAGATCCTGTCCTTGACTTGCGTTTCTGCCGGCGTCAAACGGTACGTTTAATGATGCCCAGGCCAAACGTCGAACTTTTCATAGTTCTTGAGTTCGACGTCTGGCTCACAAGTTCGAATGAATGAGTTTGGATTCTATCCGTCTGCTGTCTGCCTCAGACGAATAGAACGTCTGAAGATCGTCTCCAGGACAAACGTCGATCTTCACATGCGACGAACTAAACTAAAAAATCAGTAAATTTCTATAATGTATATTTAGCCGCGTTCGGGAGAAAATTTATTACTGATCATAAATTTGCTTTTTGGTCTAACTCGGTTGATTAGTTCGACGCGTTCTAAGCTCGACGTCTGACCCAACAGACGATCGTAACTTAATTTAGGTCGACCCAAATTAGAGTTTGGTTCGTCTCATGAAACGTCGTTTAGCCTAGGCCTTACACATTTTTAGAACAAACGCTTTATTCCCTAATTAAAATTAATAATTCTTCGTTTTTCGCGGTTTCAGCTTCTGCTTATTAAGGTGGCTGAACACAGCTTTGTAGGTTGTGAGTCATTACAGTTCATTAGGGTGTTCATTTAAGCCTCGTTTCCGAGGTTAAACATAAGATTTCGATCGTTTCCATAGCAACATGGATGGTTTGAAACGAGCCTAAAATTATGATTTCGCTAGGATTATGCAAAATCCAGCCAGTAGACGTCCTTATAAATTTACCCACAGGTTACTATAAGTAATCCTCATTTTTTAAGAAACAACTTAAACGAATTGTAAATCATTACAAACAGTTTTTGAAATTGCTAACAAAATAGTTGTTATGTGAAATTTGAATGCGTCGAAAAAAGATTTAATTTTAAGGTTTTCAATGATGAAGAGCGATATTGACAAGAATTTTGCCAGATTTCTTCAAATTGTAGTGAGTAGATTTTGAGACATCGTCGTTTCTCAACGTCTATATGAAAGTCAAAACAAGCGCTCTCACATTTTTCCCTAAAGGTGATGTTACACGGGACGCTGATTTGCAACAACGATTTTTAGCGCGTATACAGCGTTGCAATGCTGGAACAATGTTGTAACCATTTGGAAGGAACAAGGTCGCAACAATGTTGTTTATATTCTAATTCGCTACCCCGCTCAAACGAATATAAAACATTTATCATGTAACAAGCAACCTCAATTGGGGTGTGTCAACAAGAGCCGTGTGCGACCCTCTTTATTATGCCTTCATCAACAGAATGGATGGAAATAATACAACAAACAGAATGAAAACTCGGAAATGTAAAAAATTACAGCAAGAAAAACAGCCCAACAAAATGATCTAAACTATGCTCGTATAACAATCATTCAGTAAACATACAAAACGTGCTAAACCTTTCATATAGCAGCATGCAAAAAACTACGTCTAAGAGAAACCCCTGATCACTGGGTATTTAATTTTGAGGGCGTAGGGACGGTCGTAAGACGCGAATGAATATAAATGAGAACAACTCAAATATATATAGCCTACCGCTAATGAAGCAACAGAACAACATACCATGTAACACCCCAAAGAAAAGGTTACATAACCCATGATAAATACATTTATATTCTAATTCGCTACCCCGCTCAAACGAATATAAAACATTTATCATGTAACAAGCAACCTCAACTGGGGTGTGTCAACAAGAGCCGTGTGCGAACTAAAAGAACGGGAAATACAGAAAATTAAATACCCAGTGATAACGAAACCGACAACAATGAATGAACACTATCCTTAATGTAACCGTCTTTTGCCTTGTCTGATTTCCAACGGCCGTGTCTTTTAAACAATCTGTCAGGAACTCGAGCATTAGCAGCAGCGGAGGCACCTCCGGCCCTAAGGCTATGGAGACCGTAGTCTTGCTTGGGAAGGCCGATGGAATCGAAAGCGCTAAGCACTATCTCCCGCGCTCTAGTATAAAACAAAGGAACAGACCCGCGCAATTTATAAGCTCCGGTACTGCGAAGAAAAACAACAGGGCGAAAAATGAACTCTTCGCTGTCTGCTGAAAAAGAAGCGGCCACAAAATATCGTTGAACTAATAAATAAGGACATGTATGCTTGAAAGTTTTAGCGATAACAACCCAAGCCCCATCCCTGTAAACGTCAGTCTTACTTCGATGAACAAAGATTCTCATAAAAGAATCTTCAAACTGAAAATCACACCTGCGTAACTGAACCAACTCGTTAAAGCGAAAAAACCCTGCATAACCTAAAACGCACAAAGTAAGCACTCGTAAATCAGACAAACTAGCTGAAGACGATCCATACTTAGAAAATAAAAGCTGAATAGCCTCGGGGGTCACAGGCTCTTTCTTCTTAATAGGGATACTGAGAAGCCTCTTAGCAGATTCTATTAAAGGTAAAACTAACGAGGAATTACAGGGGTCGGGTAGATCTGCCAAATCATGCACCCACTTGAGCTCATAATGGACTTCGTCAATAGTACTGCAAGAAGCAGATTCTTGA